AAACAGCCATCAGCCCCTCACCCAGGCTGGCCAAACCTCCATGGGGTTAGGGTCCCCACTGGGGGGGGCTTGACCAGCCTGCAAACAGCCATCAGCCCCTCACCCAGGCTGGCCAGGCACCCCAGTGGGGACCCCCACCCTGAAGAGGGTGTGACCAGCTGCAAACACCATCAGCCCCTCACCCAGGCTGGCCAGGCACCCCAGCGGAACTCCCACCCGGATCCAGGACACCCCTTCAGGGCAAACCAGCCGGCCTCCACCCGTGCACCAGGCTTCTATCCTATATAATAAAAGGGTAATATGCAAATTGACCCTAACAGCAGAACGACTAGGAATGACTGGTCACTATGACACACACTGACCACCAGGGGGCAGATGCTCAATTCAGGAACTGTCCCCTGGTGGTCAGTGCGCTCCCACAGGGGGAGCTCTGCTCAGCCACAAGCCGGGCTGATGGCTGCCAGCACAGCAATGGTGGCGGGAGCCTCTCCTGCCTCCTCAGCAGCACTAAGGATGTCCAACTGCAGCTTAGGTCTGCTCCCTGCTGGTAAGTGGACATCCCCTGGCGGCTGCCAGGCTGCCAGAAGGATGTCTGACTGCCAGCTTGGGCCCAATCCCCCAGGGAGCGGGTCTAAGCCAGCAGGTGGACATCCTCTGAGGGATCCCAGACTGCAAGAGGGCTGAAGGAGCCCCCGCCCCGAGTGCACAAATTTTTGTGCACCAGGCCTCTAGTATATAATAATATTAGTAAGAAATTCCTTTTTATTTTATAATTTATATATCAGAAATTCATTATTTACTACTTATTTTACAAATTTGAGTTTTCAAAATCTTACATAACATATTTCTGTATGTCCAGCGAATTCTTTGCTCAAATTGGGTTTATACCTATTTTAAGTCTTCCACTAATATAGCATATTTTAGTTTTCTTATGAATGCTTTTAATTTAATTATTGACATCAAGTAGTGAATATAAAAGGAATATTCAAAATTCCCAATATGATATTAATTCAATTTAATTCTTTATTTTTCTCAAAAGTAAGTAGTAATGAGCTTTTACTATTATACCGTTCTTTAAACAAGAATGACAGAAGTAACATTTTTATCCTAAATTTTTACAATTGAGTTGACTATATCAATGAAAAAAAAAACTACTTTTTCTTGTTTCCTTTCACAGGCAGCGATACCGTCTTTATCCAAGTTACACTGTCCCATGGCCCAAGTTAGTATATTTGGTTTAAGACTCAATTCTCGCTTTGGCTTTAAAAATTAAACCAAGTGTAACCTTTCCTGCTGAACCTCTTTTTGAGTCTGATAGTGTTGGTACACCTTGCTTGCAACATCTTAGAAGTGAGGCCTTCTTTTGATTATAAATGATTTGCTTAAACTTACAGACTTTTTATGCTTTTATAAAACCTTTTTCTCTTTTAAAAGAACAGTATTATATGGATGGCTTCCACATTTAACCATTTCTCTTTTCCAACTGTAGAGTTTCAATTATTTAATGCTCAACTTGATAAAAAAGCAAGAGCATGCATGCGCATATGGGAATGCTGGCAGCTATGTGCAGTTTCTAAACCACAAAACACACTTAGCCTGGCGACAGCACAGATTGCAAATAACTGTTATTTGACTTTAGAAGAACTATCTTATAATTGTAACTACTTAAATTATATGGCCTATTCATCACTGTTAAGCAAAATAATGTTCCATTGTAGATATTTGCTTTTCATTTTAAAGTAAACTAATAATTTACCAAATTATTCCATCAATTTTAAACTAATAAGCTAATGTCTTTTGCTGTCCTTCATTCAAATGATTTCAAAATATGTACAAGGAATATTAATTATAAGCTAAATAACATAGTCTCATAAGAAAAAAAAAGGTAGGTATCAAAATGTTACTTGGTTGACTAATATCAATACACAAAGTACTCTTTTTAAATTCTATATTGTTATAACATCTAATTGTCTAAATAAAAGCTGTCAGTGCTTAAAGGAAAAAAGAACCTGCCTGTATGATTTTGAATGATTGTTTAAGTATTTTTCTTATCTTTTTTATAGTGCTCATAAACTCGCCTAACAACTTAATAAGTGATATCTTTCAAAGTGTAATTATTTACATGCCTATATTATGCCCTTGTCATCAAAATGTCTGTAAGATAGGTTCCAATTAGAAGCTTTACTTACTTTTTTTGTGCCAGTTCATCAACTTATTCTTAAATCAGGTTCAGTAGCTTCTAATGTAATTTCTGTTTTTATTATCAGGGCTGCTTCACTCATCTTGAATAGCTCCATCACAATTAAAACTTGTAGATTAGACTATGATGAACCTGATTTTTCTTACTCACCAAGGAGAGCCTATGTCTAAGAAAATGAGGAGAGACCGCTCCTGCAGACACTAGATTCTCTCTCTCCCTGGCATCCTTGGAGAGAATTGCTGGGGAGAGTGGTTAAGATCAGAACTAATTCCAAGCACTATCCAGTAAGGGTAGGAAAATTCTATACTAACAAAGTTGGGGGGTGGGGGGGAGCCCATCACAAAAGCTTAAGAAAAATAATCATTCCAAGGGTTTTTAATAGTTTGCTATCTTTCCCAGAAACCTGACAGACCCAAATTAAAAAATTCCAATTATAAATTAACAGTAGGGATATTATTTTGTTCAAAAAGCAAAATAACAGAATATGTTAGGCAACTTTTTTTTCTGAAAATTCTGCTAAAAATATTTCTGCATGCTTTTATAGCAGTTTGCTTTAATAAAGGAATCCTATCGGGTATTGGTTTATTGAACTGCTTTTGATACTTCTGTACATTTCTTTTAATAAATACAAGCAGTTTCCAGCTAAGCCTTTTCAGGATTAATAGGTGAAATAAAATTCTGTGACCTTTTTAAAAATTTTAACATTCTACAGGATCTGCTTCAGTATCGTCTATAAGCTTAACCAAGGGCACTGATGAAGTGCCTGTCCCCCCTCCTGTTCCTCCAAGAAGACGACCAGAGTCAGCCCCTGTGGAATCTTCGCCATCTAAGGTAAAGTGGAAAACCTTGTGACCTGGAAACTGGGATCATTGCAGTTACATTAGCCTCAATTGCTATGTGTAGTTTAGTTCTTACTGGATTAGAGTACTTGGGCTACATGGAGTTTAAACAAGGATTAAATACAGATTTACTATGTTTACAGTGGGGCCTTGACTTACGAGTTTAATTTGTTCCGAGACCGAGCTCGTTAAGGAGCTCGTTAACTCAAATTACTCTGTCAACTCAATGCAAAAAATCTGCTGAGAGACAGCTGGTATCTCAAAAAACTGGTAAGTCAAGGCCCCACTGTATTTTGGTATATTATCAAAACCCTTGTTAATCTAAGTCATAGATACTATCAAGGAAAAAACAAATTTAATCTATAAAGTAAGACTAATATAGTCTCAAGCAGCTCTTAAAAATACAGAGAGAGAGAGAAAGAAGGAAAGAGGTCTGAAGCTTTATATAAAAGCACATTTTAAGTGCTAAATGTTACCTATCTGAACCCTTTTAATAGTGAATCTGACATGCTCTTAAGTGGGATTTTCATGCAGATTCTGAGTTGGAAGAGACCTTAAAGACTCATAACAGCTACTTTTCCACTTAAACTTCTGTCTTTGCCAACTGTTAACTTGATTCAGTGGTTCTCCAAGTGTCCAAAGGGCAGAGCACCTGGATAAATCAAGACACTCTTTGTGGAACATGAAATATAAATATAGTAGGGTTAATATTATAAAATTAACAGGTAACTTATGTTAAAAAAGAAAAGATCTTATATTAGATAGACTGATAGGTAAGCAAGCAGTAGCAAACAACAAAAATTGAAAAAATTAAAGTAAAACATTGAAAAAAAATTTTTTAATGAATTGGCATACACTCCCATTTAAAACATATGAAGAACTACCTGATCCATACCTAGGGCTCTTCCAATAGCATGTTTGAAAACCCCAACTTGATTTTAAACATGTTCTTGGTACTACATATGTGAAATTACTAATAAATGTTGTTGTTTTTTTCATTTGTCTTAGATTATGTCTAAGCATTTGGACAGCCCCCCAGCAATTCCTCCTAGGCAGCCCACATCAAAAGCCTATTCACCACGATACTCAATATCAGACCGGACCTCCATATCAGATGCTCCTGAAAGCCCTCCCTTATTACCACCACGAGAACCTGTGAGGACACCTGATGTTTTCTCAAGCTCACCACTACATCTCCAACCTCCCCCTTTGGGCAAAAAAAGTGATCACAGCAATGCCTTCTTTCCAAACAGCCCTTCCCCCTTTACACCACCTCCTCCTCAAACACCTTCTCCTCATGGCACGAGGAGACATCTGCCATCACCACCATTGACACAAGAAGTGGACCTTCATTCCATTGCTGGGCCACCTGTTCCTCCACGGCAAAGCACTTCTCAACATATCCCTAAACTCCCTCCAAAAACTTACAAAAGGGAGCACACACACCCATCCATGCACAGAGATGGACCACCGCTGTTGGAGAACGCCCATTCTTCCTGAGTTCCTCTGTACTGGATGTACATTTCCCTGTCCCCAAATCCATTGCTGGCAATGGATGCACTGAATGTGCCAGCACTGAGGAGTTAAAATGAGAACTCCAAACACTAACGACTCTACTTCAAGATGCAGTATAAGACAATTAATTTTAACCTAGACGAACATGGAAAGACTGATCTAGAGGAATTGGACAACTGTTTGCACCTGATACCCAATTTAAGGGACTTTTTCCAGCCAATGGGTTGGAGCCCTGTTTTTGTGAAGTGATCTTTATCATTAAAGGGATGGAAAAACACAGTCTCCTGTCCAGCAGGCCCACATTATGACAGTTTTTATAATTCAAAATATTATGCACTTTTTTAAAAAAAACTTAACAGGGATCTTCATATAACCCTTTGTTTTCTTTTGCTTTTACTTGTCCGACTTTAAAATATTTTCTTTAAAATCATTCAAAGGACTGTGAGGAAAGGCTGTGGTGCCTGACCTTGTTGGAATCAAGGCCCAGCATGTACTACAGTCCTGTTTACAGATCATTACAGTGAATGAATTGAATGGGTACCAAGGCTTCACCAAAGAGGTACTTTTTTTTAAAGAATAATTATACCAATTTTAAGAGTCTATCCCACCCATCCTCCCGATACAAACAAAACGTGGTGGTGTTGCCTTCAAACGAGAAGTTTTGTGTCATTAACATGACAGAAGTACTTACTAAAAAAATGTAACTGTCAAGTATATAATTTACATTTAGGAGACTGTTAATCTATGCTAGGTTGTCATTTTTCCCCCCTTCTCCCACAAAAGTTTACTGGTAATCCACGTCATGGCTCGTAGCTGTCCCTCTAACCGTACTGTGGAAATGCAGTCACCCAGTGTGAAAAGAAGCACTTAGTACTTGCTGGGCATCACTGACACCATTCATGTTTTACTAATAGTTGAGTAACTATCAGCATATCTAGAATTACCTTGCATTGCCTAAATCATGTGTATATAGTGAATGTTATATAATAAACTTGGCAGGTCTGTTTTAATTTAATTAAATAAAGATACAAATACCTTGTTGACTGGCATATATTAAATTATTATATGGATAAAATGGTTGATTCTTATTTCTTTCAGTTGAAACACACACACAAACACTAAGCATAAAAGCACGCATTGTGGTATGCCTTGGTTTCTAGTTCTGGATGTATGTATTCATCTTAAAGGATGATCTGAAGTTACAGTTTGGCATATAGGATAGTATTTGGTTAGAATAGGATGGGTATCTTTCAAGCAGAACTTTGTAAGTTTTTTAATTTCCTAGGCAACATGTATACAGTTTGTTAAAGTTTATATTAAACATTCTACCTTGCTTGAGGTCTTTGCTCTATCAGAACTATTCTTAAGAGAACATCTGCCTTCATCGTTAAAATCATAATATGGATTATTCATTAAGCCTATGTACTGATCTTCTGAGTCTAACAAATACTGTGACTGAAATGCATGCAACTTGCTGAAGAGAAAAAGTTTTTTTAATCTCCACTATAATGTCTGTGAAATGTGCAGTGTTCCATCCTTAGAGAGTCATCAGTTCATCAGTATCAGCATGTATCTGAATAATGAAGCAACATGTCAGCAATTCTGTTAACCATGCCATTAGAGACATTTTAGAAGTGCTGCATTATGGGAAAACCCAATGCTTTAATAATTTCCTGTGACATGTATTAGAGCATTAAATGTACATTACAATAGTACAGTATATAGTCCTTTAAGACCAGAATGTTGATTGCATCATCATTAAGCAATCCATCCTAGCATATGCTTATTTATTTGTTAGAGTTGAATCTTTGTTTAATATCTGCACCATTCCTATTATGGTAGGTAGCCTTTTAATAGTCTCCCAAAAATTAATTTCAAATCCACTGTTGTATGCACAGTGTCTGTAAGACCATTCATTCAATAAGTATTTATCTAAGCCTACTTACTAGTGCTGCTAAGATTAATCATAATACACATTCCAGAATCTCCCATGAGTTTTTATTAGACCAGCCTCATTGTCCCTAGGATTTCCCTTTTTATGTCTTAGTGATCATTACTCTTTTTAATCACCCCATCCCCACTCCAAATGAGAACCTGAGAAGAGTCACATTGGAGCCCATTCAGTATCTGGCCAGTATGTTCACCTTCAATAAGGGTTTTCAACCTGCCTGACCATATAAAGAGGGGGAAAAAATCAAGATTTGGCGCTCTAATCGTACTTTGCAAAGGGGGAACCATTCTAGAACCAGTGGTTTTAGGAGACCACTGCATTGGCTTTGTGTGCATTGTGGGGAGAGGGATACTTCTTTATTTTGAAATGTGACATCTGGGTAAAAATATTTTCTGCAGTGGTAACTAATTAGAAAAATTCCAATTGGATACCCTTAAATGGTGAGAAAACCATATCCTTGCCTTCACTTTTGCAACATTAACTAGCTGACAAATTTATTGTCTGTAGTAACTAAAATGTACTTAGGGACAAGAAGTGGCTGAGAAGATAAATGCATCACCAAAAAATTCTGCTTTTGAATCCAGAACATTATAAGACAGTCAAGCAGCATGACTTTCAAAACCAGGTTTCAAAATATGGAACATATCTTTTAGAAATAGAAATGTTCTTAGATGTTTCATTATCTTTGGATCACACAATGAAAATGTTTCTAGGTTGAATTTATTTAAGTGGGCTAATAACTAATATAACAGAAAGGGAGCCTTTTCATATATCTAAGCACTTTTAAAAGCAGGAACAGATAAGTACATGTTTCTAAATTTATTCAAAGGTTATTTACTCTTCCCAGTCTTCAATGTATTTTAAGAGTACAAATTATCAGGAAATATACAAACATTAAAAGTTTGTTTAATTAAAGGTTATTGGGTATCAAAATATGTATTTAGCAAGTTACTGTGCTCCAACAACTCAAGAATGTTTTGCTTTACTGGATCTGAAATTAGCAAAGAGCATGCCACATGAATTATACTACAATCAACAACAGTCTAGTGAACAAGTACTATTTTAGATGGAGGCTAAATTACGGTTCTAAATTCTTAATGTTTTTTCCCACAAATCAAAAATTAAGCAAACCAAAAGTTAGTTGGTATCTATGATCATGCTCTTGTCTTAATTCTCAAGTTTAGCTTACTTTAGTCATGTATTTCATTGTTTGTCTTTTAATGACAGCTTAAATTCAGTTTTAAATGGCTCAACAAAATGAGAAATGGAGGGAGGGGTGTCCCAACTTATTAGTGTACATAATATTGAGAAAAACCTTTTTTTCCCTCCAGATTTAGAATGAAACAAATTTAACCATTTATTTCTTGGTATTCTGCTGCTATGGGTAGATTAACTTGTTCTTTTAACCTATATTGTTTGTTATACAAGTGCAGGTCCTGTTGTGTTGCATATTAATCTTTACTAGTAAGATAAACATCACAAGGCTAGTATCAGTTTGGCTGAAAGACTTATGCAGTAAAACTATAAGGGAAAATGATGACTTAGTTTACTTAATATTTTTCTTTTGAAACATCTCATTACTAGCTTTTAAAGTCATTTCATAATCCTTTATACATGAGCCGATACAATGTTTTGAGCTCTAGTTAAGAAGCATGAGGTCTATATGATAAATCTAAACAACAAAAGCACTTGTAACTTGTTTTGTAAATTTCATGCCTTATTTTCCATTTTTGACACCGTAAAGTGCATTTTTTGTCGACTGTGAGTAAATTTCCCTTTTGCCTTTAATGAAAATAGTGCATTAAGTAGCCGATTGCTGCAAAATTATGAAGCAAGTTAGCTAAAGGTGGATCATATTGGACTACCACTCAAAGAAACAAGATGCATAACGGTGGAAGTCACATGTGTGGCTTTAGGGAGCGCGCACCTGTGCGAGATGCATGCCACTTTCAGTAGCTGCCAAATGTGCCTTTAATTAAGAACATCTCTAATTTTTTTCTTCAGATCAAGTCAGCATTTGGGGGCGGGATCAGGGCAGGGGACTTTGGGGTGCAAATATCTGGTGAAATACCAGAGAAGAAGCCTTTGTTTGTCAAAGTGACATGTATAACTTTAGTTGAAACATGTTTATGTATATATGCGTGTATTTGCCTTTGTTTAGTAGCACAGTATTTGCTAAAATAATTGTCGAAAAATTGCTGTCAGTCTTACTTTAATGTAAAAACAAAGTGTGGTCTATACATCTAATATGGCCTTTGTACCTAACTATGTTCGTAGGTAATCTTTGTACTCTATGTGCAGCAGTATTTGGTTTGCATTTAAAGTGAAAATAATGGCTGTTATTTTTCTGGCATTACTAAGATAAACTGAAAAATAATAAAGAAAAATGCCTTACATAGCCCACAGTGTATTATTTTTGCATGTATTTTCTGGTATCTTAGAGGACACTATTTTTAATGTCATTAGTGTCTTTCATTTTAGCTCATACTTGCCACAGAGAAATAGTTTGCTCTTTATCATGGCCTTGCCTTGGGGGTGCTTATTCCTGTTATCACAATATTATAAAAGAAGTTCAGTATTTCCTTCTGCATCAAGCCCTGTGATTGTAGTGAGTGGGAGGCCCTTGAGATGAAAATTAGTACTTTAGTGATCTTGGGTGTCACCTGTATGAAGTTTCAGATGCCTAAGGCATTTGTCGCCCATAAAAGTTCTATGATATCACAGTTCCTCGATCGGCAAGTTTTGCTGAGACCTGCTGGAACGCAGCAGCCTGACATTTAGCAGTTCTGTCTAGGCGTGGCATGGAAAGGTACAGTTCACAGTTGCACACTGTAAAGAATTATGCAAATGTGCAGTTATTCATGATGAACTAGACAATGTAAAAACTGATGAACCCTTAGAGATCCAATATCCTTATTTAAAAATTGAAGCAAGGGAGGCCTGGAGCTGAGATGATTTAGCCAACATCAAGTGGCAGTTAATGACTGAGACCACCGACTCAACTTTGATTCCTAGTATTTGGAGGAATGCTTTCAGAAACAGCTAAAATTTATTAGTGGTCCTGTGCCCTGCCCCCAGTTTAAAGACCAAATTTCACTTGTAGGCCACTGTGAAATCCAAGTATGTATTATTGAGTATATAATTTAGGTAATCAATTAGCTATAGGAAAATAACTTTAATATTGATATTAGTCAAACAATTCTGAATTGGCTCTTATAACGTCACTTTCTTTGAGTTTTAACCAGTTGGTTTGCTTTTCTATTTAATCATGTTAGCTCATCACAGATTCAGGGCACTTAAGTCTCTAAGGCACAGCCCACAGCTGAACCGCCTTTTTGCAGATAGATGCACATGGTTTCCAGAGGGAAGGAGAGCTTTGATTGAATAAAACCATAAAAGCAGTTTATGCCCATTCTAACATTTTAGGATTGTTGATTTTCACTGAAGGCAAGAAAAACACTATAGTCATTTTCAGAAGTTGGTTTCTCTACCTTCATGATTCATCAAGAAAAGGAAGAATCATTGTGATACAAGAGTACAATAAGTAAGTGCCTTGAAAACACACATCTGTGTTCACACTCTGGTTCTATTACGTACCAGATGTGTGACTTTGGAGAAGTTATTAAATGAGTCTCTGTTCTTTATCAATGCATGAGGTTAATAGATCTACTCTACTATTGGTGACTATTGTGGGGTTTAAAGGTACACTAATTCTCAATAAAGTCACCAATAAGTTCTGCAACTTTAAGCAAATTGACATAATGAAACCAATTTAACCACAGGTTATTTGACATAAACAAGAGTAAAGTTCCTAGAGTATTCATCAATGTTATAATGAAACAACATTCACGAAACACTATTATTCAAGGACCTGCTATGATATGTGTAAAGTCCAATGCCTTTTACAGAGTAGTTGCACATAAAATGGTAACTGAAGTTGAAAGGGACATGTTTTCAAAATTTGCCTGCTATTAGATATCTTTTAAGAGGTTGATGGTTCATCCTGAAGTCCCCATAGTTTGATTCTTTACAGCTTCCTTTAATGTTTATTGCCACTTAAATTGGTTTGCGTGACCTTAGTTATAAGCATTTCATAAGGGACCATCTGATTATTCAACTTTCAGCAAGTATTTATTGTTCCAGGTACAGTTCTGATGTTGGCACAGAACAGAACAGACAAAAAATCATACCATCATGGGATTAATAGTAGGGAAAAGATGTAGACCAGTGGCTCCCAAACTTATTTGGCCTACCGCCCCCTTTCCAGAAAAAATATTACTCAGCCCCTGGAAATTAATTTTTTTAAATTTTAATAGCAGTTACTCATCGCCCCCAAATGCACCTGTGGCCATCACCGCCCCCCTGGATCGCTGCAGCGCCCACCGGGGGTGGTAGCACCCACTTTGGGAATCACTGATGTAGACAATAGGTAATAAAAGTAAATAGGTATGTTATACATTAGAATGTTGCAACTACTATGAACAAGGACAGGTGGCTGGGAATGTAGGTGACAGGAGGTGAAATTTAAAGGGGATGATCAGAGTCAGCCTCATGGACAAGGTGACCGATGAGTGAAGATTTGAAGGAGGTGAAAGAATGAGACATGGCAAGTATCTGGGAAAAGAATATACCAAGTCCCAGGGAACAGTCAATTCAAAATCTCACAGACAGGAGCATACTTGGTATATCTGAGGAATAGTGAGGCTGCTTGTATCTGGAGAGGAGTGAATGTAGGTGAAATAGGAAATGCCATTAGAGGTTTAATGTGGTCCAGATCACTTGTAATGACTTTGGCTTCTGTTTGAGAGAAATAGAACCCTATGAGGGTTTGAACAGAGGCATGACATGATCTGATTTACATTTTAACAGGATTACTCTGGCTGCTATGTTGAGAATAATTAGGGGTTAAGAGTGGGAATAAGGCCCTACTGGTGTGGCTCAGTGGTTGAGCATCGACCTATGAACCTGGAGGTCGCGGTTTGATTCCCGGTCAGGAAACATGCCTGGGTTGCAGGCTCGATCCTCAGTGGGAGGCGTGTAGGAGGCAGTCAATTGATGATTCTGTCATTATTGATGTTTCTATCTCTCTCTCCCTTCCTCTCTGAAATCAATAAAAAAATAAAATAAAAAACGGGTGGGAATAAGGAAGTTAGCCCAATAGAAGGCAGTTTGGCCAATGTGACAGAAGTGGAGGTGGTGAGAAGAGGTCAAACTCTGAAAAAAGGGAAAAAAAAAAAAGAGGCTGGAGTGTGGACACATTTGGAAGACAGCCAATTTGGTGATAGAATAGAAGTTGGCTGTAAGAAATAGAAATGTCAAGGATGACATCAATGTTTTTGGCCTTGGAAGGACAAAGTTACCATTAACTGAGGTGGGGAATATATGGTTGAAGCAGGCTTGGACATGTTAAGTTCAGTAAATACATTAGACATCTGAGAGATGCCAAGGATGCAGTCGAAGATATAAGTCTGGAGTTTAGGAGAGAGTTTTGGGCTGAAGCTATAAAATTGGAAATCACTTTCATAAATGTCTTATTTTAAAACCAGCAGACTGGAAAAAGAAGAGATTTAAGCAAAGGAGAGACTTGGGACCAAGAAGGAAATGCCAATGGAAAAAGATGAACAGGAGGCATGAGTATGTTGTGTCCTTGAGGTCTAATGAAAAAATTTCAGAAGGAGGGAGTGATCAGGATGTCAAATGCCATTTGATAGGGAGAGTAAGATGTCTGAGAATGGACCATTCCTTTAGCAAGGTGCAAGTGATGAGCAGTCAGGGGTGGCATGGGCCTAACTGAATTTAATAAAAAACAGGAGGAGAGGAACTGGAGCAGTTTCTTCTTTCAAGTTTTACTATAAAAGAAAGCAGAGAACTGTCAAGAGATTTATTTTCCTTTAAAAATTGGAGAAATTAGAGCATGTTTGTATGCTGAAGGGTCTTCCCTGGTTGAAAAGGAACATGTGATAATGAGGAAATGGGATGTATCCAGTGGTAAGTGGAAACAACCCACTTAGAAACACAGATGGTATCCAGCCACAGACTTTTACAGTAGATCTCACTATCTTTAGATGAATGGGTTTATATACACGAGAAAGAAGCAACACAATTCATTTTCTTGCTGATAATTAAGAGCAGTTAATGTTACTATGTCTCAGGAAATGAGGCAAGAAGGAGGGATAAAAATCACTATTTTATAGTTAACAAACTGGTTTCGATGACTTATCCAAGATTATGCACTAAGCTCTTCAAAAACAACATTAATTTTGGAAAATAAGTTACTTGTATTAGGCACAAAAAATTTAACTACTTTGAATGTCTGACAACTTCCCAAAATAATATTTTCAGTCATACCTAAATCACATCCTCATGTTCTTATAATGTGTAAAAATTCACTCTAGTTTCACACAACAATTTCTTCAAGCACTGTCCCCAAAACTTCTTTGGCCAGATAATAGAGATAAATCTAATTTCAAAGGAGTTCATTGATTTTGGGAAAATGGACAGTTTGACTTACTTAAATATTGGAAACCCCCCAAACTTGGCAGCCAATCCTACGTGTTCCAGACCACCTATTGTTCAAAATACTAAGGAATGCATTCCTAAGTAAGTCACCAGACAAGTAGAAGAAAACTTGTAACACTTAAAAGTGAAACTTCCCCATTTGATCAAACAGTGCATTACTAGAGGAATATTCTCCAAGAAATAAGTGTGGGTGCCAAGATTTTGAATAAACAGTAACCAAATGCCCCTAATTTATTATAGACAATAGCCTGGAAATGGACACTAATTGTTTAAACCTAATTTTTTTTCTATTATGATTCTGATGTTTGGGGCATGTCAAGGACGTAGGCCTTCTTAGACATATCCATGTAGAAACAGAGCACATTTTATTACCCCTCATCCAAGCAAGCCTCATTGCAAAGATTCTTGTCTGAGCTTTAAAAACTGTTTCTTTACAACTTACTTCAGGAAAACAGGATAAGGTACTGCCAGCCCTAAGTTTTCATGGCTCATATGTGAGCCATTAACGCATCGATGTGTTGCCACCTTCCTTCCAGGGTGAAGGAAACTTTTAAGAGGATGTGGCTAAGTCGGTGATTTTCCCTCTAATGCATCTGGTCATGAGGGTGTGTGTAGCACTCAAGATCACTAGGGGATCTCAGTCCTGATTGCTCAATAAAACAGACTCTGGACTGTTCCCATCTGCAGCAAAACACACACACACACACACACACACACACACACAATGTTTCTTTAGCCTCCAACTTTCTAAAGAAATCATTGTTCCCTCTATCTACTGATTTTCATAACCATAGAACATGAGAAATACTACTCATAAGGTTCTCTTCCTGTTTGGAGATCAATGTGTCTTTTGTATCATGGTATAAAATCTCCACAACCCAAGAATTGCACCATGTAAAATAAATTCTGTTAATTGATTCCTTTGCCTTAAGGAATGTTAGGTACTGCCTTAGAGTCTAAGAACTGGGGTGAATTATAAGCCAAATGTCTAGGAAGCATAAAATGCATATCCATGTTAAATGTGAACAAGCTAATATCATACTAGGACAATGACTTCAAGGTGGAAGTTTTGATCTTACAAACGTTTATTTTCCTCCACATTTATTGTGTTTTTTTGTAATACTGTGAAAAGTCTTCGTTTCCCTTTTCCCAAGTGTTGAGGTTCAAAAAGCCAGTTCTCAACCATAGACTAATCTTCATCTCTTCAATGTCTTGTTTTTATGTTGATTTAGTTTCATATGTAAGTATTTATATTAGTTTTCCTCAGGGATTTATACACCAATATATATATTTTCCTACACAAATATATATACAAGCTTTTGATCCTCATCTTACCACTTGACAATACAACTTTAAGTATGTTTTACACAGCTGTTCCTTGGTCAAGGTCATTTGCAAGAGCAAGTCGGTTTCTGAAGAAATCTTGTTTGGTGGGTGAAGGATCCATTGAGGGATTCTCATTAGTTTTTTCCCTGTATTCTGATCCACTGGACCTAAAATCTCAGCACACAGATAAAGTACAGGTTGATTTGGTTTTAATTGTTCTCAAATATTTTATCTATCCAAATTGTTTTGCATTTGTAAAACAGTTACCTCCTAGACCTGGAATAATATTTACTTCCCCTGAATTCATGACTCAGGACATGTGTAACTAAGATTTGCAGGGAATATAAAGAGAATATCTTTCTAATGCTTTATGGGGACAATTGTAACAACTGTGTATGTCAGTGTAAGATATTGTGTAATAACACTGTAAAAGGGGAACTAAGCTCAGAGAATTAAAGAAATCCTATTTTTTTATTTAACCAAGTAACTACTCCACAAACAAGTAAGGCCCTTAAATTAAAATGGATGGAATTCATTGTTCTCAACCAAGGTTATCAAGGGTCTTTACTGAACTTGGGCATTACATTACAAACTCTTGCTTTTACTGGTTTTCATTTTTGAATAAAAGATTTATTGAAACCAACCACACATATATGCTACATTTGGTAGAATGCAGAAATTGGTACAGTAATCAGATTGAGGAGATTCTGTAATCTCAACCACCACGAAGGAGACCAAGCCCAATCAATAGTCAACAACTCAGATCAGTCCAATTGAGTCCCCAGTCCAGGGTGCATTCTTCCTTTATCTTGGTTAAGCCAGTTGGGTAATCCATTCCAGCTCTGCACCTTCTCCAGTTTGTTCATGTCAGAAGTCCCTGGAGGGAGGAGGCTTTCTGGAAAACCTCTGATAAGCTAGGCTGGGGCCCTTTGGCTAGCTTAAACTCTGAGCTAGAATAGGTAAAACTATCCCGACTAGAAACCAGTATCTTAAAGACCTCATGTAGGATGTATGAAAGTGATGTTAGACATGAAGTTCTTTGTCCAAAGCTCCTACACAACTAAACAAATTCTCCGTATGTGGAGGCAGAGTCAGACATGCTTCCACTACCCACAGAGAAGAGTACGTCCTTTCCCTGCCATCGGTATACTATGAGTCCTCATTGTTGTTATTAGATAAGCTCATTATGACTATCATTTACTGAAATTACTGGGCAGAATTCAAACATCCTTTTTACTTTATTAAAAGAAGGAAGTTAGATCCACACAAAGAATAAAATCCTAATGTCTGGAAACCTGATGACTGACTAGATATTTTTACTTTTCACCCTGATAGTTGGTGTTACAGATGAAGCCACAGATGCCCAGCATGCTTCTACCTCTGGTCTGTAAGGAGCACTTTCCTACTACATCCCAATGCATAGAAGAAAAACTACTCAACCCAAGTGCCTCTGGGCAGTCATCAGATAAGATGGTATCTGGGTGGGGTGAAAGTCCTCTTCCTTTCCAGGAGCCCCCTTGGAATTCTCCCTTGAAACAAGCCCACCCTACTAGAACTCCTGGCCTTCTCTCGCCTCTCAGAACTCCCACCTGCCTCCAATTCAAGTCATCCCTGACAAGTACAGTTGTGTCCAAAATGTTAGGAAGATATGGACCATTTCATTCTTTCCCCCATATCGTCTATTATCCAGGAGACTAGGGAATGCCTATTAAGTTTTAGGGGCAGAAAGTAGGAAGCAAGATTTGAATCTGGCTGGTGTTTTTTCCTGAATCGTTCCCCTAACGTGGCAGTTTCTCATCAGAAAGTCATTAGTCAAAACTTGCAATCTCTACCTCACATTTCCCCTTGGCTACATCTGATCTCTCCAAAACCCAACATGTCATATTTGATGGTTCTAACATGCAACTATTTAGTGTTTACCTGGAAATGGGAAAGCTTTGATGTCACCACCAGCCCCAAGGACCACAGAAATCTTCACCAGATGCGTTCCCATTTCTGAAACAAATGCCAAAATCGCCCTGTCTAGTTTTCAAAGTCCACGAACTCAGCTTAGTTTTTTCTTTTTTAACTGCTCTTCTCATAAACAACCTCTGTGTGTCTCCAGGTTTGTGAATTTCTCTGTGCTTCTTGACATTAACTATTAATTAACTAATGGCTAACTTGCTAATCCTTTAAAAAATCAAGCATCCACTGTAGCCATGACTAAAAGCTCATTTTCATCCTTTTTAAAGACAATTTTAACTGACCTCTACACTGCGTACATGGTATGTGGCCACTTCGACAGCTGGACTCTTCCAAAGGTGTGGCTGTTAGGTTCTGAAGTAATATTGACCTAAATTACTTGGAAATCACCTGCAGACTGAGAAGAAAGGGCCAGAGTATTTGCTTTTACTCCCTTTCTCTATAAACGAGCAATGGCTTTGGAGCTCCTGGAGCCATGGCAGTTGAGTACAGGGCAGATCTGAGCAGGCACTGAAGACACAGGCAGGCAAACACTTGCTGGGTAAGGGTACAACACTGCCAGTACATTCTGACACTTAACCATCCAAGTTAAATTTGCTACAAATGAACCTTGAAAGTTTGGAGCTGGGGAAGGGAGGAGGGGGTGGAATCTGGGGCACAGAACCCTCTGACCTAAGAAGGGCTGGTTTTCTGATTGGAAAGACTGTCCACTTTGAAAGCTTTAGGAGACATGTCCCTGGAGAAGTAAGGGGCATGTCTCCTAGTAATCAACAAGGTGACTGACAAATGAGCTTTCGCTTACTACGTGTTTGCTGAGTGCTTACTATCTTTCAACCTTGCAGCTGGGTTACCCTTACATTTGGGCTGTAAGCTCTTAATGGACTGCAACTATTTCTTTTACTTCTTTTGTGCTAAACAGAACCTAGTACACTAAAGATCCTTAACTTAGGGATTGATTTCAAATGACCTATTGAGAAACACAATAAGGTTTGAGTAATGTACAATGTCATCCCTTCAACTATCTCCTTCAATTTTAAAGTTATATTGGGAAATACAATGGGAAATGAGAAAGAACTCCAAACTAAGTATGAATGTAGAAAGGACTTGAGATTAGGCTTTAGGAGGTAAAAAAGAAGGTGAGGGTAAAATTATCAATTGATTCTTTAGTAGTCCTGTATTCTATTACATGGTCTGTCCCACAGCCAAGACTGGGCATATGCATAAACAGCTGATAAGACACCAAAAGAAGAGGATTCAGATACTCAATTATATGGGGCCCGGCAGAACTACTCTCTCTGTGTGTGATTCAGACTGGAAATATTTTGATGTGATTGGTGGAGGGAGGGTAATGACTGGGAAGGAGCTACTCTGAGGTGTGTAAGTTATAAAGTGCTAAAGAAGAACAGAATGAGAGAAGAAGTAGAATTAATTATTTGGGAGTCGTATTGTTTATCTTCCACTGCTCCCAGATTTGAGGATAAAAAGGAAGAGCATTTGCATTTCTTAAACTGTCTTACATAATCCTCTTCCCCTACGTCACACCCCAAACCAAGAATTCTTATTAACCTAAGTGCAAGATTTATATACAAATATGAAGTAACATCTGCCTGAGACTTCAGGATAGTCTACACTTGAGTCTTTGACAACCTCCATATAGATCCTTCTAGAATGGGATAGTTTGCCTCCCATCCTCTCAAAGGCAGGGGGATAAGGATTCAGTCCAGCATCAGCCTATCACACTAGGTCTGCTCCTGACTTCTAAGACTCCTCATTTAAAACTGTAAAGTCACTTAACCTTTTCAAACGTTAAGATATGTGATCTTTCTTCTGATTAATTCTGGACAGCTTTCAGAGACATATGACCTGGTGTCTATCTACCCAGGACAAATGTGCCTGAGATAGAAACAGGGGATCATTCTTTTCCCCAAGTGTCTTGGGTATTTTTCAGGATTTTTTTTTAAAGATGTCAACTTGACTCTCCCTTTTGAATCCTTGTGGGTATGAGCATCCGGCCCTCCCAGCCTCAGAGGGAAGAGAACCCTTTCCCAGGTTTTCTGTTGCATCTGGCTCCATGCCTAGCTTCATCCCGAAGCAGCATTCTGGGTGTGTGGGGCCACCAGCCAAACAAGCCCCTATGGATACAAAAAGTGTGTCAGTGTAGACAGGAATGAGCCTCCAGAGGTAGGGTAGGCAGGCAGTGAGCCGCAGATGTGACACGGGCGGCTTTTCTGGCGCTGGTCCGTTCTGGACCTCTGAGGCCAGGCTCTGGCATGGTTCCAGTCCCCAGGGTAAAACCGCTTCCTAGTCACAGGGCTTGCTGCCAAAATGATCTCCCAACCACATGGGAGAAGAATGACCTGAGTCTCTTGCTGGTTCTTCCATCTGCCTGTCCACAGGCCTAACTTCAGAGTCCTCTGTAACAGCTCTTACATGAAGCTCCTACATAGCACCTGGGACTATGTCTTTCATGATTCCTGTACAAGTGTCTCACAAAGCACATGCATACAAGAAAGAATGCCTAATTGATGAGAAGAAGGGTGTGTTCTCAGCTAAGAGCACCTGGCCTTTCCATGCTACACTGGGGCTTCCTGGTCATTCCTCTTTACCTTAGCATAATGAAGCAAACGTCCCATGGTCTTTGCAGGGAAATGCTCAGGAAAAATCACTCAAGCTGTTTCTTGATCCCATGCCAAACCCCCAAAGTGTTCACTGTGGTACCCTGGACATAAGGCGATAAGCAAGCATCTCCTGGTGGTGCTCACAGTCCTACACCAGATGTAAAAAGCCAGGAAAGCCTGCCAGAGGAAGCAGCCATCTGTGTGGCCATTCATGTAACGCTTCGAAACTTAAATACAAAGTATGGTGGCAGCAATAGGATTGATGCAGGAGGGACTGAGATAAGAGAAGAGATAAGAGGAGTAAGGGAATCCATTTGGTTCTAAGAAGGATCCCAAAAAGTTGCAAGATGACTGGAAGCAATTAACCAACATGAATTTGAAGCGTCCACACAGCAAGTCCTCAGCATTGTACTGAGGGCTGTGAAGGGGCTATAGAAAGATAAAATCGGGTCTTCCACACGGTGAGTCTTTAAAATTATGGGTCCCAAGGCCACATTAATTACTTGTGTCAGATGTTAAAAAGATGTGATTATGCAGATTGATCCACAACAAAGTCAAACTACAGATAAAGCAAATCTCAGCCCTGGACATGACTCAGGTGACTGTCCTGGACAATCTCTCACCCAGGTGGGAATCCTTGTCATAACGTCCCTGACCAGGGTCACCTACCTTCTACCAAAGAGAACCCACTCCCTCACCAGGCAGCCAGCTCCAGTTCTAGGCAGTTGCATTTTTAGAAAGTTCTTCCTCTCACCCATTGCTCCTAGTTCTGCCCCCTGGACACAGAGAGGATAAATCTATTCCCTCTGCCTCAGGTAACTACACAGCGTTTTCTTCCATCTCTCCAAAACATGGCAGTTCGTAAAAAAAAAAACCAGTGGTGGATCCAGGGCTCATTGCTTTCCAACAGACAGTACCCAGTCATTATAAATGGCAGCGGGCAAAAAGTGGCTGTGTATTTTGGGAATACTGTGGTTAAAAAGACAAAGGTTCAAGCAGTGCCCTTACAGCGGTTCTCAACCTGTGGGTCGCGAACAATAAAAATACATCCTGCATATCAGATATTTACATTACGATTCATAACAGTAGCAAAATGACAGTTATGAAGTAGAAACGAAAATAATTTTATGGTGGGGGGGCACCACCACATGAGGAACTGTATTAAAGGGTCGCGGCATTAGGAAGGTTGAGAACCGCTGCTAGAAGGATTTAGGGACCTAAATCCCAAGGTCAGGCAGGGGAGTTGTCTGCCTCCAGGTTTCTCCACTCTTGACACAAGTAGGCACTAAGTCTGTGATCCTAAAGAGAGAGACAATTCTTAACTCCTCACCCGAAATCAAGGGGATCCAGCTAAAGCCATGCCTGTGTGCATGGGGCTGCCTTAGCGAAACTGAAAGGGGACTTTGCAGGGTAGGGCTGTTTCTGATTGAGTCATGTTTCTGTCTCTGCCTATTTCCCCTTCTTCCAGTAACAACAGGTGAGGACCAGCAGAGACCCACTGATCTCAGTACCACTCTCCCCAAGGGAGAAGAATTAGACAAACTATCAAAAAAAGAGTCCTCACTCCAGGCCTGCCCCCAATTCTTTCACCAGGATAATTCATTATCTAAATCAGCCCAGGAACCTCTACCTTTAAGAACGTGATTTTCCTGTGTTTCCTCATTTATTAGAAACTCTCCAACGGCAGCAATAATGTCCTTAACTTTTCCATCCACTAAAATATGAAGACTTACTGTTTAAAACTGACTGCAAGAACCTCCTCCACCAAGAAAAACTAAGCAGCAGGGGAAAATCTCTCTAAGGAAGAGTGAAGTAGGCCTGAGGACCCGTGGCAATAGAGACTGCAGTTTCTCAGGTGTGCAATGGCTGGACTTGCACAGTATGTTCCTTACATTTCATGCTGGGGTTAGACCACTGCCTCCCAGTATGTAAGACAGGGATGGTAAGTGCTGGCCAAAAAGAAGGACCAGAGAAGGGAAATGGCTTGTTTTTGCCTCCTATGGAGTGTGGAAACTCCATTACAGTGATTTTTTTAAACTAAGGCCCAAGCCAAATCTATTCAATCATTTCAGATAGGGAAGACACTGTAAGTCCCAATAAACAGTACTCTAGGGCCCTACAGGCAGAAGTGCTGAGATGCCTTAGAAAACTTTCCATTGCTCCCAACTCCCATAGAGGATCCCACTCCTCCCAGGCTAAAAGGAATTCCATGGTCACCAGCTCATTTCCCAGGGGACCGCCTCTGCTCACTCTGCTCAGGACACGTGACTTTGGGAACAAGGAAGTAGGGCTAAAAGATAGAAGAGGCAGAGGACAGAGCTGAGTTTGCTTTTACTCTAGGAGATTACAAGGAGAAACATCTTCACCTGCATGAATCGTGGCTACTGGGAGCAGGCACTGAGCTTGAAGCCGTTGTGTGAAACCAGGCTACTCCATACTTATTACTATAAAAACCTCAAGACTCAGCCCAAAGGGAAATGAGTTACAATGCTGTCTTGTCTAAGGGCTACTCACTTCTTTTTAAAGAGCTTGCGGAAGGAGCTGCGAAAGCCCCCTTTCTGGTCTTGCCTGGGGTTTTGATCGCTGAAAGACGTTTGTTCACTTTCTCTTTCTTCCTTTGGACAGAATCTGGTGGTGTCTTCTAAGTGCATCTCCTGAAAACACAAAAGAGGGATTTCTTTTTCACTCTGTTCCATCGTTAACATCTATCCTGACTGTGGGACATTTTTTTTTTTTTAAGCTCGGTCACTTTCCTCTTCCACCCCCAAAGACTAATGGTGGGTACCCTATTCCAACTACAGCAAACCTAGGCTAATTAAGAAATTAGTAGTTGAAAAGAGGATATTTTCTGCTGAGTGTAGCAGTATTTTCTATGTATCAAGGCAAAGAGTCTAGAGTCTATATCATAATCCTATATGATATAACAATAATTAAAGACCAGGAATTAAAGGAAATTGGCAAATGTTTAAAGAGTATAGAGAATAACTTCTTCTGGCACAAATACCACCTTGCTGGGAAACCAGATGTAGGACCCTCACAGCTCTGGGTATGTTTCCCTTTCTACAAAATAAGAAAGCGGCTTGATTGTAATACTAGTTTTAAACTAATGTTCCTAACTCTTCATTTTAGACATAAAAGAAGGAGTTTTTAAGAGGTCACATCTGTTTAAAAGTAAATATCAATTAATATTTCCAACCTGCACATATGCCTTTAATACAGCTTTTACAATTCTTAGTTCATGGGATTTGGAATGTAAAGTAAAAATAAGGCTCTATCTTTTGTGAACTCTCTAGTTTCTTTTTAACTGTGAGATGTGCTAAATAAAATAGATATGAATATATATTTATGTTCCATATGAACAAAATATTTACTTAAAGGTGACTGCAATTCAAAGCAAACAAAAATAGATGCTTAATTTTGAACCCAAGAAGTCAAAACAAAAGCCACCCTGAAAGTTTCATGAATTAGATGGATAACTGCTTGCTGATAGAGAAGCAAAGATCGGGGATTAAATTTTTTTTTTTCAAGAAACATATGGGTTTGAATTTGAGACCTTAACTTGGGATTGTAGTAGCAGATCTAGAGATTCTCTGATATTCTACTAAGGTTCAAAACTAAACCATGGAGACCAACATCTTGATGGGTTAGTGTGGTATTTCTCAAAGTGTGGTTTTGAACCACACTACAGGATCAATTGGGGCCTTTATTTAAAATATAGATCCCTAAGCCCCACCCAGATTTTCTGAACCAGAATCTCTGGAGTTACACACACTTAAGATTTTGAAAAGCTGTGGTGTAAGGTATGTTCCTGCTCAACTGCACTTAATGTTTCTATGAATCATCTAGGAATCTTGCTAAAATGCAGATTCTGATTCAGTAGGTCTGGGATGGGGCCCACATTCTGCATTTGTAACAAGCTCCCAGGTAGGTAATGCATTCATTCGTGGCCCAAGAACCACATTTTGAGAAAATTCAGTAGGTCTGGGATGGGGCCCACATTCTGCATTTATAACAAGCTCCCAGGTAGGTAATGCATTCATTCATTCCTGGCCCAAGAACTACATTTTGAGAAGTGGGCTTTTAGGGACTATTTAGAAACTAAGTCTATTAATCGTTTAAGGAAAATCTTTCTGTGGCATCATGCTCTTGATAATATCTTGCACTTGTATAGCATTCCATACTTTGAAAAGCATATTGACCAAGTTTATCTTCTTTGTCCTGATCCTCACAACAGCACTGTGAGGTGGGAAATGTATATATTGTCCTATTTTTACAGATGTGAAAACTGGAGGCACAGAGAAGACAAGCGCCCTGACCCGAAGCCCACAGCTATTTGGCAGCGGAATCAGGACTAGAACACAGATCTCCCCACACCTAGTCAGGTGTTCTTTGCAGAAAACATACTGTCTTTCTTTCTTAAAGACTAAGGTCTGACCTCATTAACTGTCCCCAAACCTTCAGACCAAGGTAGCCCACAGCTATTTGGCAGCGGAATCAGGACTAGAACACAGATCTCCCCACACCTAGTCAGGTGTTCTTTGCAGAAAGCATACTGTCTTTCTTTCTTAAAGACTAAAGACTAGGGTCTGACCTCATTAACTGTCCCCAAAGCTTCAGACCAAGGTCAGATAGCAAAATACTAAACGGTGACATGGAGGCCAGCTGGTGGATCAATGCTTCCCTGGCTATTTTGTGTTGTCTCCGTCCCGCGGGAGTCTGCAAAGTCACGTGACACCTGTTTCCAGTCAACGGGAAACCAGCTAGTCTTTGCCGTGAACTTTGCAGGGAGGCCACCGTGAGGCAGGGCAACTCGTGTCTTCCCGAGCTGCACGAGAGCTGGCACGGGTCAGGGAGTGGAGTGAGGCGGCAGTGTTGGATATTTTGAACATTTAAACAAGGAGGCGTGTGTGCCTCACCGGCAAAGGAAGAAACAGGCAGGCGGGGACTTGCCTGCAATGCTTTGCAAGTGAAGGACCCTGCCCTAACCAGTTTGGCTCAGTGGATAGAGCATCGGCCTGCGGACTCAAGGGTCCCAGGTTCGATTCCGGTCAAGGGCATGTACCTTGGTTGTGGGCACATCCCCAGTGGGGAGTGTGCAGGAGGCAGCTGATCGATGTTTCTCTCTCATCAATGTTTCTAACTCTCTATCCCTCTCCCTTCCTCTCTGTAAAAAATCAATAAAATATATATATAATTTTTTTTAAAGTGAAGCACCCTGAGGCGCTGCAGCTTGTGCAGGAAGGCAGAGGAGACCCCTAACTCTTTCCGTGGGTGCGGGGGTGGCGGGGAAGCAGGTGTGTCTTTTAGATCTCTTTGCCGTCATACATATCCATGCAGGGCATGCCAGCTGTGTCTCGGAGCCAAGTGCAGGGCGGACGCTAACACTCTCCTTTGAGGGCATCTGAGGTCAGGACAAGCCTTGACCCCAGCACCTGCCTTAATAGGCCGTTGGGACTCGCCCAGCCGGCCGCTCCCCACCTGGCAAGGCCCCCTCCACGCTGCAGGTGAGGCCAGGCTGCTCCCTGGACAGGTAGGCCCGGGTTTGGGTTCGGTTTTACTTTACCCTCCTTACTTCCAAATAGGTCTGCTTTTCGCTTTGGGACCTCTGCTGGGGGAAGTAGGTCC